GATATCATCCTCTCTCTGACTCAGTGCCGCTCAGAGCCTCAGGCCTCCACGCGCTCTTCTCTTGGCTCACCGCTCAAACAACTTGCTGATTTGGACTTTTAATCTGCAGCAAAAACTGCACCTGTTTCCTGGCTATATAGTGTTTATGGAGCGTTGACTGAGCTTCATGAGAGTTTCTGTGGATGTCTTTGAACAGGTGAAGATGGCTGTGTAGCTGGTTAAAAGATTAAGACTTGCAGGACGGGGTAGACCAGCATTCACTTCTACTGAATGTTGATACCCTGAGCTAAATTCCTCAGGGAGTGGTCACTCTTTATTTTAAACAGTTATAACTTTTGCAATAAGAACATGAAAGAAACTGTAGTGCAAAATGTAAGATAAGCTGCAAAATGCGCTAATAACTTTGGGCTGCAGCAATCACAACAGCACAAATACTGTACATCTGATCATCTGTGACAGATGACACAAGAATACAAGAACAGAATACAAGATCTCCACTGCTGCAAAAACCTTATGGACCATACAGTATGATGTTTATATATTCCATGAGTTATCTTCAGGTTACTTCTCTTATGACTTTTTATTGCTCTATAACATGTTACACATCAGCTATGTGCCTGATCATCAGTGCCTACATGCGTCCCATCCAGTGTTGTAGTAGTCGAGTCCAGGACTGATTTTCTCATTTTCCTGATCCTCAGGACTCCTGACTTGATTTGGACTCGAGCATTGACTGCATTCGGACTTGGAAGTTGGAGACAAGGGTTCATAATTCCATTTTTTTTTTTTTTGGTAATAGGTCACAATAATTTAGCATAAGATATTGACAAGTTGTATGTGTGCATACACTTATGAGTTCATTTGTTTGGCTATTGTGTCACACACAGTAAGTAAACACCTCTTAAAATGGCGAGAGCTGAGTCAGTTATATATAATGTAGACCTTGATGACTTGGACTCAACTCTGACTCAGTTCAGACTATTCTTTGGTGACTTGGACTTGACTGGGGACTCAGGACTCGACTCAGACTCGAGGTTTAGTGACTTGACCGTAACACCACTCCCATCATGTTACAGCCACAGCGAGACTTTGTTAATGTCCTGTAACAACCAGATCTCCCAGATCAGAACACACACTCCAATAGCTAATATTACAGTAACTCTCCCAAAAGACAGATTCACTCTCGGTATCCATGCAACACGACTCCACTGATTGATCTTATGTAAAATGTCCTGAATACAGTGAGGCCAGCATTTTCATTCTGCACACACTGTAAATACATATGTACATTTCCTCTACATCCTCATGTTCTTTTATTGCCTTAATGCACACATTATTGATCCTACATGTGCATGTTCTTGTGGACGCGCTGTCAAAATTATATCTCTGGCTTTATAGTGAATGTAGGTTTGTGCTATGGTTTTATTTTTCTGATAATATCCTGGTACTTTGGTTTAGAATTTGTGCAATTTGCACCACTGTTTACACTGCTGTGCATGAGCTAGCTGTTGTATGACAAAGAGGAGCTTCTGGAGCTTGAATAATAAACAGCAGATAAAAGTCACTACAGCAGCCAGATTAGCTGCAGATAGGCTCTGTTGAAAGTATGTTTCATCTCTGACCTTTTACTGAGGACAGCGGTTGGCCTCTGTCTGTCACACACACTTGGGAACAGATCAGTAATTGTTTTCTACCACCCATACACACTTTCACGGTCAGCATCTGTCTTCTAAACAAAACCACTCTTGAGTTTATAGGCATTATTCTTTATGCAATTTATCTATAAAAACAAAACTGTCTGAGAGGATGACAAGGCATACTTTAACATACTGCCACGTTGCTCTATTGTCTCAAAAATGTCATGTTATCATTAGTATTTTAGCCATTTACACATTGAAAACCTCAAGTTTTAAGTTAACATTGACATGCAGTACCTTAGGTGCTCAAAATAATGAAACATTTGAACATTTTCAGTTTAGTGGTAATTAAACAAACTCAATCTGCTGATGAGGACAATGTGATGCAGTTGAAAGCTCCAGAATAGGTACTAAATGGATTGGTTGAACATTACTGAACCAGTGAAGAAAGTAAAAGCTGCTGCTACATAAACCTAACACTATTCAAAAGGGAGTTAGTTATGGTGACAAACTTTGCTGTTTTGGCAGTTTATCTGTGCACCAAATAAATGAACACACAATTCCCTGTTTGATATTTGTCACAAAAATGTGGAGGCAAGGCATCTATAATTTCTTAGACATGTAGAGGAGATTATATGTGCACGGCACCCATACATTTTTTAGTATTCACATAGCATGTAGCAACTGTAAGTGTTATTGTTCAGCTGTTATATGCAAGCAGCATCGGCATATTTGAGCTAAACAAGCTAACTTGTATTGTTTCCTTCAAGCACCAGAGTTGTCATATACATATAAATTTATTTATTTATTATTTCAGCCAGCTGAAAAATAAAAGTTATGATGCTTTATGGTGATGTAACAGTTATCCAAAAACTTATATTGTTTATTTTTCAGTTTGTAGGTGCAGGTGGCATCCAAATATTTGTTTTCATGCTAACAAGCTTATCTTTCCCTCTTTAGCACAGACATTGCCCTTGAGATTTTATTTTTTTTAATAGCTTGCAGTTACGCAAAGAAAACACTACAGTTCTGTGGTGATTTATCAATTACCATCTGTATATGTTATTATTCAGCTGTTAGATCCAAGCAGCACTGTATGGTTGCAGTGTCACACTAAGGAGCTGAATTGTGTAGCTTTCCCTCAAGTGCAGAGGTTACAAATGATTACAAATAGTTTTTTGATGAAATGAAAGAGGTGGTGATTTCATTCACTTCTCAAGTATAGTATACATAAGGTTTTCTTGACTGCTGTAATATGCAGGTGTCATCTGAGTATTTTTGTTTTCATGCTAACAAGCTAAATTGTTGTGCTTCTCTTTTGGGTTGGCCATGTTTTCCTCATTTCTTAAGTGGCCTGTATAGTTTTATGAGTTATTATACAGCTGACAGATGCAGGTAACATTTGTGTGGTTGTATTTACATGTTTTCCTTCTGGCACAGAGGCTGCTGAGCGGTTTTCCTTTACTCGGCCACCTTGAAAAAGGAATAAATGCAGCACTGAGCTAAGAATTCACATAGCCTGCATAGCTATTCTGGTTGTTTTTTAGCTGGTTTTCATGCCTATTTGAAGCTGTAAACAGATGGCTCATTAGAAGTTTGGGAGAAGGATGAAATGGAACTACAGTGGCCAACTCACTGTGAGTGTGCTAGTCCTATGAACTTGAATTTTAACAGACGCTCAACCCTGGAGATAAGCAAGGCAGGAGAGAAGGAAACTTTGACAAAACTCATTGAAATGTATTTTCTCACATGGCAGGTATTTAGGACTCACACTGGGGTGTCTTGTTTTTCAAAAACCAGAGGAGGTCAGTGAAACCAGCAGCAGTAGTAATCTGGATTTCACTTCACTACAATGCACACCTTGTCATTTCCTCTATTTCTGTAATTCATCATCCACTTCCAGTTACAGTTCAACAGCTTTCAGTGCTGCAGAACTTCCACATTATCCTTTTATTAACAAGTTACTAACCCCAACCCCTATCACTGCCACCCACCTTCCTCTAAGGACAATTCTATTCAAATTACTGTTTTAATTGTTCAATAAAATATAAAACTGCAATGGCAGAACACTTTATTAATGATTTATTTTATTTTTGGTGTGGCATCTTCTACCCTGCAATTCAATTTTAAAGCAGTTTCACATACAGATGTGATTTTTTTTCTTTAATTAAACTCCAGCAGTCATTACTTTGATTTGTTACCCAAAGTTGTTCTTCTTAATGACTTTTTACTGATTTATAAAGCATTTAAGAAAGTATGTGTTCACATAAATTAAGCCTCATAAAGTATGCCATATAAAATAATGTTTAAATGAGGGTGTATGCAGTTTAAATAAATGACCTGACAGTTCAGTAACACTACATCCCAGTGTCAAAGACAAAGAGAGGGTGAAATGGAAAAGTGATCCAATTTGTTGCGTGCAGTGACCCTCCATAGTTATGTCCATGCTGTATTGAGTATTGCCTATGTGTTGGCCTTAAATCAGGGCAGAGCAGTCCAACCCTTTAAATGAAGTGTCCTTCATTACATAACACGTGAGCTAAAAAGCCCACTGCAGCGCATGCAAACGCACACAGAGATAGACGACATACAAGCACTGTCAAATGTATAGATCCATCTGCATGTACTGTTTAATGGTGGGTGAAAACCTTGTATCGTCACAGTGTGGAGAGAAACACCGCTGCCTTTGCCTTACAGAAGAATGACTTTGAACATTATACTAAAGCAGTGTGAACAGATTTCATGACTATATAAGGTGTCGTCTAATACCTGCCTGTATTTTTGTATGGATTTGTCTGATAGCTGGAGATACAAGGTTTTCTTGTTGACATTAACTAGACTACAGGAGCACACAAATGGCCAGATACATACACACACACACAGACACACACTCATACCTGAATGCACTCACTTGCCCACATTTGCACACCCACTCTCTTTGACCTGTGCAGCCACCATGTCGGTCCTTGGCCTCTCACACTTGTGTAAGGTGGACGTTGTCTCACCTCCTGGCTATCCTGACCTCGCACTGTAAATATCTGAACCATGCTCACACCAACTAAATGCCACCACTATCATTCTTATTGTTAATTGAACTATAAATGACTATGTGCATGTGTGTTTGTCATGAAGGTCACTTGTGTTTGTATACTCTTTTGGTGTACAGTCAGCCCCTCTTCAGCTGAGAGGCCTTGCATTAGGCATGACATGTTGTGACCTAAGGAGACGCTCTCTGTTCCCATTGTTGGCTGAGAATTAGTGCAGCATGTAATCACACTGCACCTGGTTTGGTCGGAAGAAGTGGATCTGTATTAGAAGGTGTGTGTGTGCATGCCTTTGTTTTACTTATATTATGGGGACTGAAACCTGTTAACACACTCACTGTGGGGACTCGGTCATCGGAAATCAATGGATTTTAGGGTGGCAACATGGTGTAAGGTTAGGTGTTAGGTAAGTAGTAGTTATGGTTAAGGTTAGGGTAAGTCTACAGGAAATGAATGTAAGTCAATGTAAAGTCCCCACAAGGAATGAAAACACAGTGTGTGCATGTGTATGTGGGTTTGGGAGGATGGTAATCTGAGAGGAAGATCACTTTGGATTGCAAGTTTCAAAGCTGATTTGGGAAAAGTGGTGGGATTTTGGAGAGTTGGAAAATGATGGCAGGAAGGAATTAAAAGTATTAATTATTACATAAAAATATGAAATACAATAAATAAAATAAAATGCAATAAAAAACAAGTTCGTGTCAGAGTTTCACAGAAGCAATGACACGAGAGCAAAAGCGCTTTTGGGCTTCGCCACTTTAATATTCAACTTTAAAGTTGGGTGGGCATATGTACACATTAATACATTTTACCTCATGAAGTACATGCAGTACATGAAGCCTTAGTTGCTCATACACTTTTGGGCCAGGGATTTATGTCAGCAGGCTAATGACTAAATGAGAATGCAGGCAGATCAGTCCAGAAATGGTAACGCTAATCTTGGGGAAATTTGTTTAATCTGAGAGCAGTAATCTGTCAAGATGGGCTCACAGGGGGAGGGTGTTTATGCAGCCAGTGTGTTTCTATTTCAGTGAGGTGCTACCCTGCAGGAAATATGAATCCTAGCTGCGTGTTATCCGCAAAATGAGTTTTGTGGCTCAGGTTAATGGGGAGACGCACAAGTAAAGCTGCTGGTTGATGGAGAGAGTTGCTATCTGTGTGTTCACATTCTCAAATGAACCAGAGGTCGAGGTTTGGAAGGTGATACTCAGAAAGAGGTGGGTGTAAAAAGAGAGAAATAAAGATCAGAGTAATTGAAACAGGGCTCAGGTCTTTGGTGAAGAGAGGAGAGAACAAGGAGGTGAAAAGTACAAGGAAGGCTGCAAGAGATGGAGAACAAAAAGGAGAAATGAGTGAGAAGTAGGGACAGATGAGACGTGGAGGATGGCTGAAGAAGAGGAACACTTTAAGGAACAAATGGCACACCATGAAATCGAGATTAAGGGAAGAAAACGATCAAAAACTAAGAATTCATAGAGATAAAAAGAGAACGAGGAAAGGAAGTGAGCAAGTGTTAGATGGTTTGGGACGAAAGTGGGGCGGCTGTGTGCTGTTTGCTGGAATGATTTCCTGAGGCAAACATATTGAACTCTGGACCATGGATTTAACCCAGCTGCTGCAGGAGCAGGCGTTTACATGTGTGTGCATGGGCACTGCAGCGGAAAACTGTAAATGCTGTAAATGTCTTCTCTACACAAGGTTGTGTGTTGCATCAAAGTTGCATGTCACATTTATTGACAGTCCAGCCCACGAATTATTTGTTGTCCAGGCCAGAAGTGTAAGAAATGATTTGACTTGTGCTCATTGTAAAACCTTGCACATGTGAGGCAAAACTCTAAAGAAGACAACTTATTATTATTTTTTATTTCAGATAAAAATTAGGCTTACAAGCAAAGCAAATGATACACAAGGGGTGGGATACAACATTTGATGAAAAAGACAAGAAAATGTTAAAAGGAGACACAAAGACACAAGCACAAAGAAATAAAAACAAAATTAGACACGTTAAAAAACATGAGCAAAACCATAAAAAAGGCTGTGAGTTATGGGTATGGACCCGAGCTCATCCCATTCACACAGCACAGTTACAGACTTAAAGGATCTTAAAATTTCATTTTCAACTTAACAGCATTTTGCCAAAATATTCTCAGTTACTCTGTTAAAGAACGTCTGTGATTTGTACTGAGCATCAATATCAAGTCTGACAAATATTCCAGCTGCACCTTCAGGATATAGTCATTAAGTTAGAAAAGGTTTAGAGATTAATTAGTACACATGCAAGCAGACAAACACGTGTGCACGTGTGTTAGTGGGCCTACAGACGTACATCCAGAGTTGGAAGTTGTGAATTCTAAGTTGTCAGGGTTGTGTGTTGATGAAATACAAAACTGAATCTTGAAGATTATGAAATTACTTTATTCAGTTAATTTTTCGTCTCTTTTCTTCTGAAGACAGATTTCCTACGTTCAGACATGTACTGCATCACACACATGAATATGAGCGCACACACACACACTGACACAGACACGCACTCTTCTACCCGCACATTTGCTTTAGTTTATTCTCTAAAAGAAACATACCCAGACATGCCTACACACTCCTCATGCTCCTCACCTGGAGTTGAGGTCAGCATGCGCCGCCCCCGCACCTTGTCCAGTTCCCCCGCGGCTCTTCTCTAGGCCCAGTTTAGTGAAGATGCCGACCAGGACCATGATAGCCACCACTCCGCAGATGATGTAGACAATGAGGTGTGTGCGGTCTCGGTCCTGGTCCCCCTGGCCCTCGGTGATGGTGGCTATGGGCTTGCCGGTGTTGGCCCAGATGGGCGTGTCATAGTTGGAGCAGATACTCTGGTCCAGCCACTGCTGGCGGAACTGACAGCAGAAGCGGTAGAAGCAGGTACCACAGCAGTACAGAAAGACCCCAGCGTTGCAGTTGAAAGGTGGGTCCCACTGACCCATCACATCATAGTATCCCTGGCAACGGGTCCCACCAACTGGAGGGGCATCTTCATCGTCTGTGTCTCCACTGCTGGTTGGGGTGGACAGCCCTGTTTCTGGACGAGTGTACTGAGTGGTCTCCACAGAGCTGGGAGTTGTCTGGTTGGCCAGCGTGGTGGGGACAATGAACGGGTCAGTTTCAGTTACTGTCACCATGGTGACAGGTGGGTCCTGGGTGATCGAAGGCTCAATTATAAGGAAAGAGAAGAGGAAGAAGGGGAAAAGATGGCAGGAGGAAGGATTGGAGGACGACATGCTGAGTTAGGGTGCTTCTGTCCAATGTGCTACCTGCAAACAGGAGGAGTTCGGAGACAGGTGGAAGAGTGCACACAACGGTCACATAGCTGGTTTTTGCAGACGCAATAACAATGACCAATTAGCAGCACATTCATTGATTTTAACCAGAATGAACAAAGATGCCATGTATCTATCAATTATGGAATTAATGATGGAAAGAAGGCAGAAGATGTTTTAAACGGGTCAAGCAGAATTACAATTGGAGACTGTCAGGATACAGTGAAATATGGCAAATGGAAACTCAAAGCAAATTTTGTGTGTAGAATTAGAAATAACTGTAGGTATTTTTAGCTTTTTAATTAAAACGTGAAACATCAAAAACTAAATTATGTAAAGTAAGTTTGAACATTGCACAACATGCTCTTTAAATAAAACATAATCCATTCTTTCTTTTTAAAGAGTGGCATAAATCACAATAAAACAGAAACTCAGAGAATTTTGTATTGATTGAAGACAGTCTCACCTTTTTCCTCTTTGTGACCTGCACCCTGATGACCTCCTCTTCTTCCCTAAAGTTCAAGAGCTACAAATTCCCTCTCGATATGTCCATAAACTTTACTCAGCAGCATTCTCCCCTCAACTGTCCCTGCGGTTTTCTCTCTTCATGTGTTCTCCATCGTCAGCTGGGGCTGGCTTGGTATTCAACAAACACAAAACGACACACTCCAGTTATCTTCACCGTCTTTTCCTTTCTGCGCCCGTATCTCTTCTTCTTTTTTAACTGCTGCTCAGTCAGTACTGGCAGTTGTCAGTCCAGACCGCTGCTAATATCCCTGTGTGTGCATATAAGAGATATTAAGTGAACGTATGTGTGTGGCTGTTCTGAGCTCTGCAACAGTTCAGGAACCAAATGAGATCTCCTCCTCTGTTTACTTCTCCTTTGTGACAGTTAGGGAGGGAGAGAGAAAGAGAGGGAGAGAGAGAGTTGGCGAGGGGCAGGGGGCTGGTAATCCAGCTGCATCTCCCATCATCTCCAGAGGAAAAAAGCCTGGTGGGAGAAAGATGGGGAAAAAATAAAATTGAGCAGGGCAAAAATTAATTAATTTGCCACATTTAAATGATTTTTTTTGTCTTTTTCTCTCTTCCTCTTTTTTTGTTTTCATTACTGTTTATTTATTTGTGTGTGTGTGTCATGGCGGGGTATTACTATAATATACTGTATTTTCACAGCAGCGAGCCGACAGTCAACATCTGCTGCAGTCACTCCTGCTCATCTCCTTGTTTCCACCCTCCTCCTTGTCTGCCTCCTACTTTTTTTGCATCATCCCTCAACACACACACAAACCCATGCATGAGCATCATCTCCTGCTCCCCCAATCCCACATCTCCCTTTTCACCATCCTCTCTTCTTTAGGTAGCATCTCCTTCCTGCCCTCCCCTCACACCTTGGACATAGATAACACACTTCATTGTTTGCAGATTTTTTTGTGGCGAGATTGTGCACGTGTGTGTGTTGTGAGCACCATTTGCATCAGAAAGATTTAAGAGTCAGCAGGGTCCAACTCCATCTTCGCGTCTTCTGTTTTTTTTTTTAAATCCAAACCTGTGCAGGAGATGCTGAAACTGGCACACACTGCAAAAGACTGCAGCCCATGGGCACGTACGCACACACACAGACACACACACACACATACACACACACACACACACACACACACACACACATGCAAACTCACACCAGACAAACAAAGATCAGTACACATGCACACTGAAGAAAATGTACAAACGTGCAGACAAACACTTGCTCGTATGCACAAACTGTCTTTTGCACTCTCACAAACTCACACAGCCTGATGCCACCGCTGAGGCCAATTATAAGAGCTTTACTCAAAGTAAACTACCATGTAAGATTTTTAATGCAATTATAAGACAGACTGACAAGGGGCTTTTTGTTTTGCTTTCCGCTAATCGCATCTCCCATAATCCCCTCCTTTAGGTCTTGTCATTCCAAAATAAACTTGACTCTTCCTCTGCTTTCCTTTAATTTTCACTCTGTTGCATGCTGGATATCAGAGAAAGAGAGGGAGCGAGAGAAAGTAGAGAGAATGAAACAAAGAGTGTGAATGTAGGGCAGTGGGGGAGGCAGGCAAAAAAGAAAGGAAGAAGAAGAGAAAAGAAGGAAGTAGGGAAGGGAGAGGTGGAACATTGGAGGAGAAATGGTTGGCTGAGGACCAAAGACTGGAGAGGAAGGCACAGAGATGGAAAGAGAGAGAGCGAGATGGGTTTAGAGGAAAGAAGTAGGAGGGAGAAAGAGTTTGGGGATGATGATGGAGGGAGCAGAGAGATGTGACAGGTACAGGATGGAGGAGTGAAGGGAGAGATGATCAGAAAGATGGATGACATGTGGGCAAATAATGATCAAGGACTTAATGATGTGAAATCCAGAGTATACACACAATAAAACCACACAGATGTTTGTTGTGTAATGAGTACCAAATATTTATTGGACTGTGGTCACCAAACCAACAGCAGACCACATGAGGCCCTGGGTGATATGAATCGCATTTTTTGTATGATAACAAGAAACTATTTTCAGCTGAGAGAAGCTCCAGGAACTCGTTAGGTTCTTGTGCATTTGTGCATTTCCATCATTTTAAAAATAAACAGTTGTAGGGGTGTGCATATGCAGGTATGCAAGCTGCAGCCAAACATAAGTCAGTCGTTCACATACAGTTATTTGTGGAGTGTACTGTGCCCCAGGGAGTTTTGTTCCCTTACTTTAACCTTTAAGGCAACGTGTCTTTCAGGCAAGAGCCACCTACCACCCAGACAAGCTGAGCAGTGTCATCTGACGGATAAACAGAGGAAGAAAATCCCATTGTTCTCTGATATTAACCCATATTAAGCATGAATGGGATGAATAGAGTTAAAATGATAATAGAGAACTAATCTTGCAGTCACACTTGCCACAGGTGGCGCAGTCTGTTAAAATGGGGAGACTGGGAGTGTGGCTGATGGCTGCGAGGTTCACCCGACTTACTGTACTGGCTGACTGTTGGTATAGAGAGGCTATCATATATATGCAAAGTGTTGCCTAACTGCTCAGCAAATGGCAAAAACTCAAGTGAATTTGGAAGCGGTGACTTTTGCCCAGATATACCTGATATTGGCTGGTCCATCTCTTTGGTCAGGACCACATTATTTAAAAATAATTGGATAACATAGTGTGGATGCTGCTGAATCAGCATCCACACATTAACATTCTATTGAGACTCAGCTGTACTTTGTATTTAGTACTAAGCAGCACATGTTAGCATGGTAGGCTAAAGTAATTTTTTTCACACTTAAAAACCCGTTTTCCTTGAGACAAGTGAACTTAGCTTCATGTGTAAACTACTGTATGTTCTGTTCCCACTTGGTGTACCAAGCTCTCGTGTCTGTGGTATTCCTGAGGGCCGCACCTTAAGAAGTGTCTCGTGTCATGTCAGTTGTGTTGATTATTGATGCCTTCTCCTCCCTTTATGAGATATTTATTCTCTGTGTTGTTCATCAGAGCATGAAGGACTGTGTGACCCAAAAAAAGCATGAAAGATAAATTGGATTCCTTCCATAGAGATGAGGATGCAGATGCTTTTACTTCCTTTCATTCACTAGATGCTTTTCATAGAACACCTTCTTGATTTAGGGCAGTGTACAATTGCTCTGGAAATTGTCAGTTTACATACACAAATCGCATTTTCCCCCTAAATGGTACATGTGCAAAAAAATACAATGTGCTTTCACTAAAAATGTTGCTTCTGCATTTTTGCTTTTAACAGCTTAGCACCTCCAGGGAAGTAGAGGTCAAGGTGTCTAAATGAGAAAGTAGATGCTGTTTTGTATAATAGAAATAGCTAAATGAAGATAATGTGTGTGTGTGTGTGTGTGTGTGGACCTGGACAGGACCTGTTGTCACCACATGAATAAATAATCCTGTTGAATTAAAACTCATCAACTAAAAAAGTGCCTGCAGGTGTTAGGGTGGCTCCAACACGGAAGTGAGCGAGTCACAAAAATTGACGGACCCAGGTGTTTGACTTCGATGCAGGCAGTGCAAGTTTATTTACAGTGTAAAACAAGTGACCAAGAAATGAACAGACGAGTAACACTGGGACCGGGTGTCGAGCTTCGGATGGGAACACAGTCAGTGGTGGAGATGATGAGAAGAGGACCGGGCTGCGGACACTGGGACTCACTCCTGGACTGGTCGAGTTGGATGGTACTGAAGAGGAACAGAAATTGTACATACGGTAAGTAGTAGACTGTGCATCGACCTGCGGGAGTGAACGAAGAGCAGGGACTAAATAGGGAGAAACTAATCAAGTGCAGCTGGTGGTAATCTGGGGGTAAGAAGCAGGTGTAAAGGATAATGTAATCAGGGTAAGGGAGTGAAAACAGAGTGAGGGGAGTGAGAAAGTAGGTGCAGCCGGGCAAACCTGACAGCAGGTCTCTGTTTTACAAGAGCAATGTTGCTCCAGTTCATTAGAAGACACTGAATATCTCAAATGTTTAGTTTAGTTTAAAAACACAAGCCACACACTGTGTACCTAGCCATCCACTCCAACCTCCTCCTAATGCAGACTTTGTGCTTCTATACTCCTTTGTCATGTCATAATTAATAGAGACACTATATGCCACCAAACTATAACATATAACAGTTCATTGTAATAACTGCTGGCACAGATGACGTATACTGCCGTATTTTACAGGACTGTTTCTTAGCATGAGTTTACGTGGCTAATATTTTCCTATTGAACGGATTATCAAAGGTTTACACTACTTATTCTGATCAAAAATTCTTTCCTACTGTAGGCTCTTGCCCTCTATGGAGGAGTACTGCATTAATGTTACTGATAACTACAGTGATTTAAATATCTCTGGATCCACCAATTCCTAAAGGACAGCTGAGAAGATGAAATAGAGCTACATTAGACAGAGAGAAGACTGTCTTGCTTCTGTCAGAAAGCTTTTTGAGAGAATGTGTCTTACTTTTGTTAAACCTTTCCAGTCCTATATTGGTGCTGTTGAGCACTGGTTTTCCCCGTCTACATGAGTGTGTGTGTGTGTGTGTGTGTGTGTGTGTGTACATAAAGGATTGAGCACTTCAGAGTCATGCAGGGCTGTGATCAGAGGGAAGCCCCTTTATGATGTGATCTAGGTGAGGCTTTGACACTGCTGAGGAGATCCCGGGAAATAAAAGGACTGTGGTGTGATGCAGGAATGACCTTTGAACTTTTGCCATCAGTACATAAACTCGTACTGCAGGACAACATTACACAAAGGCAAAACATTAACTCCTGCATCAGATGGGAAAATCCTATTTAGCCAAATGTTGCTAGTATAAACATTAGGATTGGTTGAAAGCGCTGCTGCATCATGGCTGTGTTGTAACTGTCATGGGACAATGAATGTATTAAAGTGACACCTATAAAATGGATCTGTCAGAACAAAATTATATATTATTATCAAATGTCCAACTGTGTGAATGCAAACAAGAGGTATTGATTTGAAGTAAAAACACACACAGGCAGATAAGCCTACAACTTACCCTGAACTTGAAGGTGGATGTAGTTGATTACTGAGCTACTGTAGTTTTTAATGGGAACTGATCATTTCATTACTGTTTGCTTTTTTAATGCAGTAATCAGCTTGTTAGCAAGCTAAATCTTTGGTAAATATATTTAATGGTCTCAGTTAGCTTGATAAACGTGATAAAATTTTAATGTGCTGTCAATACAGCAACAAAAGAGGTGGGTACTGCTAAGGATGCTAGTGGTACTGAGCTGCAGTCAGGGTAGTAGATGTCTGCACATATCAAAGGCTCGGAGTGCTTCGAATTGT